TTAGGGTCTAGGGGTTTAGGCCTTACGATTTAAGATCTAGGGTTTGGGATCCAGATGAAATATGCGAAAGCCGAATATGCCGTAAAGAATGAAGTAATGGAAAAAAAGGGAAACTAGTGTAATGGAGAAATAGGGAGAAATGGAAGATGAATTGGAAACTACAGCTATATGGGGATCACGGGAAAGAAATGAAAAAATAATTCAAACTAATTTAGCACCGAGGATTGCAAAGGGACTACGATGATTACTATAAGAATCCACTACTGCATCCTGCGAACCAGAGGTAAGTTGCTAAGCAGGTCAGTCGCGCCGTTTGAACAAAAGGTATCCTTCCGAGACAACCGGCTACGCCTACGCATGACTTGCGGAATGTACCCTATGATGTTTTGATGCAAAACCCGCAACCCTCAACCTCAAAGCCTATACCCTAAACCTCAAACCCTAAACCTTTAACCCTATACCCTCAACCTTGAACCCTATACCCGAAACCTCAAACCCTAAACCCAAAACGGTTGAGCGTGTGGTGGGGGAGGTGCGAACCACTTGCCTTTGGGGAGCTAGGAATGGAGCAATGGATCCTTATAGCAGTCCCTATATAGCCAGCCCATTATAGTAGTTTCCACTGAATTTTCAACCTTAAACCCTAAGCCCTAAGCCCTAAGTAGTAGTTTCCATTTTCTTTTCCATTCCAACCCTAAATCCCGAACAATAATTTCCATTTTCTTTTCCAACCTCAACCCTAAACCCTAAGCCCTAAATAGTTGTCTCCATTATCTTTTCCATTTCTTCGTTCCCGGCTAACTACAGACCAGACCATATTTGCAGGCTCAAGCCTGGAGATTGGCTCATCAGCATCAATGGCGATGCTGTCGCGAAGACCCTCAGCCAGAATTGTGGTTTAGGGTTTGGGGTTTACAGTTTAGGGTTTAGGGACTAGTGTTTAGGATATAGGGTTTAGGGGTTAGGGTTAGACAAACCTCCAAATACAATTGAAGAGTACGTCGCCAGAATTGGGGTTCATGGTTTTGGGCTTAGGGCTTATACGAAATTTAGGGATCCTGTCGTTGGGGCCCCTTCTAAGCAAGATGAGAATATCAGGGGACCTCCATTCGTGGAATCTCCTAAAGAGGATTTTGTGTTAAGGTGCATAGGGCTTTGGAGATAGCATTTGAAAATGCATAAGATCTGCAGAGCTTAAACTGTGTGCTTGTGATTTGCGGTTCTTCACTGATGGAGGATTGCTCCTTCTTCGATGGCACATGCAGAATCTCCTATGAAGCGTGGCATCCCCTTAGGTTAGGTTATTCGTCTGACTGCTCGATAGGTTCACAAGTCCCCAGGTCGCAGGTTTCAGGTTTAGTGGCTTGGGGTTTAAGGTGCAGGGATTGGTGAGGTTTTTAGTCAGGGATACTTGCGGGAAGGTTGTGGCAGAGCCCAGGAACTGCATTCCCCAAGTTGTTCTTACACGCCCAGGTTCCCCCAGGTTCCCAAGGGCCCCAAGACGTCAGACCACACCGTAGCCGAGACGTTGAAGCACCCTCTCATACCAATTACCTAAACCCCAAAGTAGGTAGAATATTGACCTAAACCCTTGAAAAAGCTAACAAGCCTCTTACTCTACATGAGCTCTAATCTAGACCTTCCTAAAGGGGGTTACATAGAGGAGTATTGTAGGGGTTATTAAGGGGAAAACTAGGAGTTTAGACTTTGGCTCATTTACTGTGGGGGCCAAGGAAGTGTCAGAAGTTGATGTTGGCAATCTCAGACTTGTTCCTGTGATCCCCTGACTTTGCCAAGGATGCGTGAGCGTCTTGGCCGCAGCTCCCGTTGCGAGGGACATTCCCTAGGGATCCAAATACACAAACAATACCTACGTTGGGCGCTAGAGTCTGTAAATATTACCTAAGTTTGGCTATTTGGATCCCGAGGGATCTTTTTGTAGAACGTAGCCAGGAATGCTGGATGACATTCCCTACTCAGGGTAGGTAGCGTCGGTCCTTCTTCTGTGATGGGCTTGCGGCATCCCGAGTAGAAGCCAACATCTTTGGAATTACTAGGATCCCTTAACTACCCTTAGGTAGGGTCCGTGTAGTTCCTACTTTTGGGTAATTGGGCCGCGCAGAGAAAACTTGGGGGTGGGTAAGTCTGCGTTTCTGGCAGCGGTCTATGCTGGCATACACCCAGCTCTGCCACAAGCTCCGCACCACTTGCTCCAAAATTCTTAGAACAAAAGCGCATACCCATCGCCCTGCAGATCCAGCATTCTCAGCAGCACGGTTCTGGGTAATGGCAGGCAACATACAAGGACAAACAGGGAACCTCAAGAATACAGTAGGAATATCGTAGAAATATGCCTGCCAGGTCCTCATATTCCTACTATATTCATGCGGTTCCCTGCTTGTGGTCCTTATTCCAGTCCTTCTATGGTGGTAGGCACAGACTCCCAACCTAAAGGATCCTAAAGGCTTTGAGCGCAATAATCACTAGATAGGTCCTACATCACGAACACACCCAGCCCCAACTGGGTTGCTGCTAAGGAACTTAAATTAGGTCACCAAAATGTGGGCATACCATAGATAATAGGCTTTCCTCGTTATGATGATTTACTTCAAGTTCCAAAACAGCAACTCAGCAAAAACCGAACCCTAGGGTGTATACATTATAATAACTATACACTCCCCCAAGCTAATTCTGAGTCCCATAGAACAACCTTTTGAAAGGACAGTATGGTTTCTACGGGACGCTTTCGGGGGCTGCTGGTAGAGCATGCACCGGGGGTTCAGGGTCTAGGGCGTAGGGTCTACACCTTCAACCGAGGGATGTATGCTTCGAGCTTCTCCAGCGACATCGCCCTCTACGCCTGCTCTTCGCCCGGAAATGCTGCTGTCTTGCAAGGAGTGTGGCAGGGTCCTAAGTCCCAAACTCTAAAAACAGGAGGGCAGGAGTGAGTAAGGTGTAGGGAGAAGGCTACGGCTGGGTGCGTGATCCTTGCGCCCCTTGAAGCCCTATTTTCGTGTTTCGGATTTAAGGGTTTACGGTTTAGCATTCATTTGAAAACTGCACAGTAACTAGAGGGGATAGCCATAAGTTCACTTGTACCCAGACCGCCGGGAGGATCTTGGAAATAGATCCCCTTTAAGGGTTCCTGCAAAGTGCTTAATGGTAGATATGGTACTGTGGGGTGCCATATTTGGGGTTGTACTTTTTTAAGATCTTCTCGAAGGCCCTTGGTAGTTTCCTAGCCTCGAATTGTTGAGGATGAGGGTATGGCCAGCTGTCCACACGGTGCATTAGTTTTGCGGTCAGATCTGGGAAAGGTAGGCACATCTGCGTGTAAACCTGTACCAGTAACCAACGGCCTACCGTGTAATGGCTTATACCCACTAATTCGGAAGTGATTCCTACCAAGCTGTAGTGAATTGAGCTTACAGGTGTGGCTTATGTGGAAGATTCGCATGCAGAGACATGATGGCTCAAAGGTGAGGGGCACCATTGGGTTCTGTTCGGCCAAAAGCCCAAAACCTAAAATCCAGAGTTGTTGAAGCTTTCTTCCTGAAGGTCAGGAGTAGTAATCCCCTGTCCCTACAATGAAGCACCCCCCACCCTCGTAAGAATAGATATCCCCAAGCTACCATGATTATGTGTCAGGGTTTTCAATACTAGGGGAGCGGAGTACCTGTTCAACTACGTTCTTTGTGCCCGTAGTGCCGAAGGACTGTCCTCACGTTTGCTGCTCAAGTCGCATCATCTTCTTGATTGGCTAGGTGGCACTTGGGTATATTTCGTCATTTCCTTTGTTATGGTAGAAGGTAACCTTTTAACTGATTTTTGGGTCCTGGAAAAGAACTACCCAGTCAGGGTTCAGGTGGCACCTGGTTTGAGACTAGGCCTGTTATTACCTGGAGGGGCAGGGAAACCAAGTACGTATACTTATAGCACCTAAAAGCCAGAAGATAACCCCAGTTGTTCCCAACTCTAAAGCCTAGTTACTAAGTCCCCCTGACCCTCCAAGTTGTCGCTATGGCCCGATCCAAACCAAGTGTTGGCTTTCCTGACAAACATGAGTGTCACCAAAGACAGCAGGCCCACATGCCCCCAGAATACATTGTTTCTTATTATAGCACCCCCGAGAAAGGAACCATGACTTTTGCCCTAGACCCTTAACCCTTAACCCTTATCCGTTCAGGGTGAGATGTTTGGAATCTTCTGTCTAGCTGAGGCCTCAAGAGCGCAACTCCCAAGCTCAAGCGGCCGAACAAGTGACTTCGTTGCAGTCAATGGCCTCCGTTTCAAGTTTAAGGTTCAGGGTCATGGTTTTTAGGGTCCAGGGTCAAGCTGTGACAAGGTCTGCCCAGGGTTCTCAGTAGCAGAGTAGGTAACATTTAATACCCACGCAAGTACGCAGGGGGCATCCTGTGGACAAGGATGCGCTTTGGCTGTTTGGGCCCCTAAACCCTTAAACTCTTAGACCCTTCGACCCATAAGCCCTTGAGCCCTCAAACCTGCTTCCTGCCTGCCTTCCCTACATAATTGACCTGGTATTTCAGAAGCCTTAAAACCTGAGAACTGAACTCTAAACCTTAGACATTTAGCCCATGCTCTCAGCCATAGACTCCCCTTTGAGCAGTCGCAGGGTCATAGGCCGATGTCATAGGGTCCAGTGCCCAGGATCGCTGTGAAGCTAGACGAGGCGCGGAGGGAAGGAACACTAAAGACATTCGGCGTGCGTGGGATTTCGTATGGGAATCTTTGTGTCACAACGGCTACCTGTTTGGGCGATTTTCCTCTCATGCGGAAGGATCGCAAGATTTCTTTTGGGCATCAAGGTAAACGTGAAGAAGAGCTTTGAGGCTCAAGGATTACTCGCGACAGAGGCACGCCTGCCCCACTTAAACCTTCCAAGCTTCTGCTTTTGCGTGAGGGCCTAATCTTACATGGTTCAGGGTTGCATTAGAAATGCTTAGTGGAAAAATCCAACCTGAACGACGGCAATCACGTCAATGGGCTCGAACCACTACGCTTTAAACCCTCAAGTCTTGTCATGCTTACGACATCAGCTGAAGCCAAAACCAATGCGCTTACTGCTCAGACATGCAGGAATGTATCCTTGTTGTAGCCCCTGTACCCTAAACCTCAATTATTAGTGTTTAGGGTTTAAAGTTGGACTCCATTCTCTTCTCCATTGATCATTCCCTGCAGTTGTATGTTACATGTGTTGTTTTCCGTTTCCACAGCAAGTCATGTACCCAATAAACCCCAGCTTCCAAGTGATTCCAAATTTGAATCTCTATTTATGGGCCTGCGTACCCGAATTTAGTCCCTATGATATAAGTTCTTAACCCTATAAACCCTGAACCCTCTGAATTTCAGTCAGAACCTGCTAGAGTTTTTTCTAGTGTCCTCCCCCCACCCCCCCAAAATAATACTACACCCTAGGTTCCCCATTACTTAAGGATCTTCAAGGGGGAGCCAGGGAGAGATAGTAGTTGGCAGGGGTTTTTAGGAGAACCCAAGAAAACCTCTAAGCCCCAAACCCCTAAACACTAAACCCCTAAACCCACCTCCATTTTAGAGGCCATCCTCTACTCCAAGCAGCATCCTCCTCCGGAACCCATTAGCGAGCAACCGGAACATGAGGAGGACTGCTAAGATTTTTTAATTTCGGGTTTAGGGCTTAGGGTTTAGGAAGGTTTGGGGCTTCGAGGTGAGGGTCGCGGCAGGCTAAGGGTCCCTAGTTTCTAGGTGTAGCGTCAGGCCGTAGGGTTTAGCGTTCTTCGATCTTTGCAAGGCGCTGTTTTGGGACTCCAATACTTTTGGAGGAAGTGCACATGAGGCTTTCCGAAAGAAAGGGCCCCTTTGATCAATCCTTGTTTGAGGATGCTTTGACTGTACGTATTTATCATCTAACTGTTAAGGACTAGGAGGATGCGGATTACCGGCCCAGCTTGTTCCAAGTTCCTTACGAAACCAGTATTTGATTAACGGGAACTTCAAAGCATCGTGTGCGACATGATGCGCTAAAGCCTAAGCCCTGAAATGGGCCCTACAGGTTCTCAGGTCAAAGAGCACAGCAGGTGTTTAGCAAAGTGCTCAATGCGAGAAATACACGGGGAGGGCCCAAGGTCTACAACACAGGGCTTTGGGTTCAAGGTTCAGGGTTGCTTAGGGGTTCAGGGCTTAGGGCTTAGGGTTCAGGTCTCAGGGTTTGGGGTTTACGTAGGTCTAATTTGCAAGTCGAGATAGTCCACTATTAAAGAGACCGCAGTCTTTGTGGAATACCTTTTCCTTGTTAGTTTGGGGGAGAGTGTTTTTATTGTCTATATGAACACTTAGGGCTTAGTGGGCTTACTGCTCATGGTTTAGGATTTCGATTCTTCGCAACCAGTTTGGGCTAACGGCTTGGGGTTTGTGTATTTTCTTTCCTGGGAAACTTCCGTTATTGGGTTTGCGGACTCTGGATGTTCGGCAGGACAGAGACGTCGCTGTCAATTACACGTAGGGTTCACAACCTCAATCACGGGTAACCGCTCAAATCAAAATCTCCTGAACTGTCAAGCGTCGACTGATGGGGCAACTTACTTAACGCTCTTTGACGGCTAAGACGCGATGTAGGTTGCTTCAGTAGTGCGCAGCCCGCATCTTGAATCGTTTGGAAGGACCGTCGCTGAATGTTTGTCTTACCTACGCCTAGTTATACACATTATGGATACACGTGGCTAGTATTGGTGGCTGACGTTTATACGTTGTTTGCTGCTCTCATCAAAACTTGAAACCGTGGGTCTCTAGTATGGTCCCTTAATAACCCTGGGATCCTCATGTACCTATTATATTTTACCCTTTGCGGGCCCCAAAGGCCATACTGCTACCTTTGAATCTACTACCGCGACGTGCCCTATTTCTGCTGGCAGTTCTTCGGAACCAACCTGCTGAAGAGCTCAGGTTTCAGTGATATAAGGGTTATATAGGTTTTCATACGGTTATAGGGGTATATTTGTATATGTGTATATATACATATGTTTCAAATGTTATTGCTATTGTTGCTACTATTTCTGAACTTGTTTTATTACTTTTTCTAGGAATCAACTGGGGACGGATCATGTGTTCTACCTGGAGGTTCAGGGTAGTACCTGTAACCCACTGCTAGCCATATTAGGGGACTTAGGGAGCTTGGATTTTGTCTTGAAGTACAGTTACCATTCAGATAATTACCTTGAATCTCCAAGTACCTGCCAGGAAGCCAATGCTGAGGAGGCAGCGGCAGAGGAAGTGCGACAAAATGCTGCTGCTTCCTCTTCATCAGCTGCTTCCGCTGATGAGGCCTTTCTGGGCAGGTTGGGAGACATGGGAGTTTTTGAAAATAGGAGGGTCCTAGCAATATCAAGGTATTGTACATAGAGATTATGAGGGGATTATGGCAGTCCAGTTTTGGGCTTCTATAGTTTCATTCGGGAAGTGCCCGAATGGACAGAGCCTCAATTGCAATTGCGAGCGATTTCGAAAAGGGTTTAGGGTTTAGGGGCTCTTTCTTCGTTGGCAGTGGATGGTGCGATTGCGCGACTCCGGTTGCATGCGTTTCTTTAGTTGGTCGTGACAGGCAGCCCCAATGATTGCAAGAGAGCCTGCACATACGTGTATACATGTATTTGTTACGTGGACCCACCACCCAGTAAGAGTGACTATAAGGGATCATGGTGATTAGATTTGAATCTTCTTGTATTTCTATTATATGACTATTACATATCAAAAGTCCACCTGATATGTGCATGCATCCTCAACCAATGAAGATCCGTGCCCCGCAGCCCATTGAGCGCACGTGGCACCAGCGGCAGCGATGGCAAACATTCCCCCAAATGCTCCCGGAACCTTAACACCTCCAGCTCCGACTCCACTTGGCAACTTGTAAGCCCAACTTGGAGCACGGAGCTTCCTTACTCAAGCCCCACAGGTTTTTGTGCTGCTACCTGATACTCTATCGGGAATTGGGTTGCACAACATAGGCTTTGAGGCTGAGAAATTCAGGCAACTCAGTACAGCCAATTTTTGATAGACTTCAGCCTCCTTGGCACCCTTTTGTCCCCTTAAGTAGATAGAATATTGCTTTGGGTATATTATACTAAGATCCCCATATACCCCATTTTCTATCTACTTAAGGGGTACTATAAACCCTGGTTTTGAATCTGGTTGTCTTTGCAACTGAAGGTTGTCAAGAACATGCGCGTCCGGAAATCACACCAAACAAAAAAACGGTTCTGAGCATGTTGGTTGCAGTCCTGTGAAGCAACTGTAAGCACAACATCTGACAGCTTCAAGGAACCATAGACCCTAAACCACCGGGAAAGGAGTGAACGGGCAACTCTATGTTGAGACAGAGCCCTGTGACGGCTCTTCCATGTTCAGGGTTTACTGGGTTGCTGATA